ATGCTCTGGCTAAAGAAGGTGGGGAGGATGGGCTCCTTTGTCCTGCTACTGTCTAGGGTCACTTGCTCTTGCCCACAGTCACAGCACAGGAGCAGAGTATCCCCTTCCTGCCATTGCCAAAGGCTGCTTGCCTGCCTATATTCATGGTAATTGAGAAGTGGAGATACCTCCACTCTTAGAAGTGGGGGGGGCAGTTTCAGTGGTCTTGGGTGGTCCTTGGAGTAGTGTTTGGCTGGACCTGGTCTCTATTTTGCAACATAAAGTCCCTCAAACTGCTGACCAACTGTGACTATGTGGGTTGTTTCTCTAAGGATGGCAAAGTGGCCCTGGGGGGACAAAGCAGCACTATTCAGATATCATAGGCCAAGTACATGCCTGTCTGTCCAAAATGGCAACCCTGCATGCTAGTTGCCTACAGTTTTGCTGGACCTGGTTCCTACTTCTCCATATAAATTATCTCAGTTTGCTGACCATCTGTTGGCATTCCACCATGGCTGGATGGCTCTTCCTTTTTTTTTCCCTCTGAGGCAGCAAAGTAGCTCTGGAAAAAGGAGGCACTGTTTTTTGGTTATCAGAGTTCAAATGTGTGCTTTCACTGGCTGCCAATCACTCAAGGCTCACTTAACAACTGTATTAACCCATTTGAAATGAGTGCTCAGGAAATGTTGTCTCCCACTATCGCTGTGTTGTCTCTGGCTGTGTAAGACTCCCTATCCATATCCAGTCTATTTTTCAGTGAGCAGAAGAGTTGTTTTCACTGATCCTCACCAGGGTGGGTGCACCACTGACCCACTTGGTCAAATGTCCTTTGATCTGCATCGATGATCCATTTCTTCAGTAGCAATGAATCCTATTTTCTTCTTCTCTTGTCAGTTCACTTGATGTTTATGCATTCCCTCTGCACTCTTTTTGGTCTTTTGCTTGTTGATTTCCAGGATCTGTGCATCATTATGATCAGATAGGACGCAAGATATTCTTTATGTTCTATTATATATATTTAAGCTTGCTTTAAGGCATATGATATGGCCTATTCTGGAGAGGGTTTCATGTGTTACTGAAAAAAGATGTGTATTTTATTATTTTTGAATGATGCAGTCTATCAATATCTTAACTCCATTTGTTTGATGGTGTGATTTGATTCTGATATTTCTTTGGTCATTTTGTGTCTTTCTGACTATATGGTGTACTGTCTATACCAACAGGTGTCGCTTCAACCAACTGCCTGATATACACTTGCACATCTGTTTATTTGTTTTATATCAACTGGTTTTTGCATACATTTGTTTAGAGTGTTGTATACGCCTTTGAAGTTTTTTTCTAGTGAAATCTAATATTAAGTTCTGGTTATACTCTTTTACGAATTTGTTTTATTTGTGAAAAATAACCAATAATCTTGCACTTTTATCTATAAAAATTCTTATCAGAAGTATATTAGATAAAATTTTTATACTTCTACAGAACTAAGTAAAATTCTTTTGTAATAAAAAATGAACACATTTGGGTCCTTATTTCTCAATTACTTACGAAAGATAGTTTGGCAGGATGTAATAAGTTGGCTTGGCAATTGTTTTCTTTTAATTGGGGAACTACACTCCAAGCTCTCTTGATCTTTAATGTTTGTGTTGAGAAATCTGTTATTATGATGGGCTTGCATTGTTGAATTACTTGGTCTTTTTCTGTAGTTGCTTTTAGTATTCAATGATATGAATTTCTTAGATTTTGACTGTGTTGTGTTGTATTCTTTTATAATTGTGTTTATTGTGGGTTCTAAATATTTCATGTAATTTCATTCTTTATATTAGAAAATTTTGTTGTATAATTTCAGTGAATAAATATTTGTATGCCTATAGTTTCATTTTCTATTTCTCTCCTTTTCTTGAATAGTGCAGGTCAAGATAGGGTATCACTGTGTAATTTAGGCTGTCTTGGAACTTGCTGTATAGCCCAAGCTGACCTTGAATTCATCATGATCTTCCTGCCTCAGTCTCTTGAATGCTTGGATTGCAGCTACATGATACTAGCCTAGCTTCCATTCCTTCCTTAACATTTATGTTTTAAGATTATTTTATGTTTTAAGATCATTTTGGACCTCTGGAACCAGTCTCTCATTGGGTCTTGTTGGCTTCTGAGTACCTCATTATACAAGATCTACTATATCAGTTTTTACCTCAAGTTCTTTTATTCTGTCTCTTAATTGATTTATACTTACTGCAAAATCTTTCAATTTATTATTTTTTTAATTTTCAGAATTTCTTCTTGGTTCCTTTTCATAACCTCAAATTCTTTAGTGAAGTCATCATTTCTATGCAGCACTATCTTCTTATCATTCAGTTCTTTCTTTTGTCTTCAATTAGCACCTCTCTAAAATGATGCCTGGCCAAGCCCTGTCTATATGGGATGCTTGGACTGAAGTCATTCACTAGCTGTTATAGCTCACAGCATCTACTGATATGTTCCATGGTCCACTTCTCCCTGGAGGCCTCTGGAGTCACTTATGCTCACTATGTCCCTGTAGATATGAGCCTCTTCTCTCCCATTACAAACTGGGAGTCAGAGAAAAAGTGTAGTTTGTTATTTGCTTTTTCTCATTGAAGTCTATTTTTTTACTTTCTTCAGATCATTCCTGCATCCTCTGATTTACCTCTTTCCTTCCTTTTCTTCCCCAAGATATTATACTCTAACATATGTATTACAAATCTCAGAGAGTGTTTGCTACCCTTACATCTTCCCAGACAGGGAAATATTATTGAAAGAGCTACATAATACATTTTAATTCCTTTTTACAACCTGCTTTCCTTTCCTCCCTCCTCCTCTCACCATCCCTCCCTCTATCTCCTTCCTCTTTGAAAAAACTCTGTCTCCCTACTTTCTACTATCTCTTCTTTTGCTTTTTCTTTACACGTTGGGTTTCTCATAAGAGAAACCATGTAATATTTAATATGTGTGTCTGATTTATTTCACTTAACATCATGGTCTCAAGATGCATTCATTTTTGAAATAACTCATGTATCATTTTGTATGGCAGTAATACTCCGTTGTGTGCATATTCCAACTTATCTTTATCCATTCAGACACGATGACTTCTTTCAGGCGTTTCCAGGCACTGCAACTTTTTTGTTAATTTGGTGCACTTCAACCTAAAAGATTATCTTAGCATTTTTGTTTGATTTTACAGAAGTTTCTAGAGATGCACAGTTGTACCATTATCTTGCTAGATATTGACTTCAATCTATAATGCTCTCATCTTCTATATCACATTGCAAACCAGAATCATGGCAGTATCACCCATATCTTTAACTCAATCTGTTCTCTCAGATTTTGTAAATCATTAAATATGGATTGTACTGTGATGAGATAAACTAAATCAAAATCTTGTGCATGTTTAATGTACAAATCCTTCATTGCTGTAAATTGTTTGTTCCTTGCAGTGTCCAAGATTTATGCATATATGATAGTACGTCAACTTTGTTTCTATTAGAATCTTCTATAGTAATATCATAGTTTTCAACAAAAATTCCTGGAATAAACTGTACAGTTAGAGGAGACTTTTCAATACCTCCTGATTCAGAAATAACTGAAATAGCTTTGCCTGCACTGTTTAAGAGGCCCTGTCAGTATGTTGATACTCCCAATGCCACAGCACTCATGCAACATGTAATTCTGCTCTAGCTGGTTATATTTTTGCCTTTTATCCCTCTTATATGTGGTATTACTTAATTTGTATACTCCACTTTTTTTTGGTGTTGTGATATTGTCACTTTCACAGTGAGTCAATCATTTTTTCAATATATAATGGTCTTTTTATTTATTGTTAGCTTTTTCTTTAAAGTTTGCTTTATGTGCAACTAGCACAGCTGTTCCTGCTTGTGATTTTTCCATTTGTATATCTTTTTCTAAGCTTCAACTTTCAGTCCGTGTGTATCTTCAACAATGAGATGAATATCTTCCAGACAACATATAGTTGAGTCTTTTTGTTTATATTCAACTACATTCTAGATTGATGAATTTAATTCATTTACATTCAAAGTTATTGATTATGAACTTCCTCCTGTAAATTTATTCCATTTGTTTGTGTATATTTACAATTTCTTTATTTTTGTGCTTTAGCTGCTATTTCTCATGGTAAGGTTTGATTGACATTTTGGGTGTGTAACTGTTCTTACATGGAGTGTTGTATAGTCCTGTACTTTCATGATTCTAGTTATCTTTTAGTTTCTAGTGATTCTCTTTTTGGGTGTTTCTTATAGTTAAGCCCTGAAGGCTTTTTCTTAAAAAGTTTTGAAGTCATATGACACAGATATTTTATGGAATTTTTAATTTCCCTTTAGAAGTCATTGTATTACAGTTACAGAAATATTTTCTAATTATATATTTTAGTGCTGGTTTAAATATATAATAAAAATATATTATTTGGGACATAGTGATTTAAATATATTTAATTATATATTTAATTATATATTTTTATAATTATTGAAAATTGGATGAATTGTATTTATTACAGAAAATTTGCAAATTAAAAAATATTTATTTACCTTTGTTCCAAAGGAATAGTTATTTACTTTTTCTGTTTTGTTTTGTTTACAAATGCCATATACATTTTCACATGATTGAAGCCATACTATAAATATTACACTGTAACTTTTACTAAATCATATTGCATCACGAAAGTTTCCAAAAAACAGTGTAACTTTCATTAATGAGTATTTTTATAGCCTATGCATTCATACATAGCAGATATCTATCATAATTTATTATTGATAAGTTACTTCATGCTGTTTTCAATAAAAATAATGATGCATCGGTCATCTTTCTATAACAATCCTTGTTAGTATGTAAAATTGTTGCTCATTTGATGAATCTTTTCAAGGAGAATCATTGGCTCCAATGGGTCTTTACAAGAATCTTGTTGGTACATTAATTTTAACATTCTGGCTTTATTTTTTGTATACTTGGTTAAATGATAATTATATGTATTTAGATTTTGCACTCTTTCTTTCTAGGTTTGAGGCAGCCAGAAAAGAGGCACTTGCTGTAGATCAAAGACTTGCAGAAAACCAAGAAGATGAAACTATCTTAGAAAAGAAATGGCCATTACTTGGTGTTCCTTTGACAGTAAAAGAAGCATTCCAGCTACAAGGTATTAGTCTTTTTATATTTTTACCTCCATGGACTAAATTCCCAAGTGGTGCAAATTTTGAATTATAAAATTGAAAGCATATCATTCAAGTGTTGTCTGTATTGCTTCCTGAGATTTAAAAGAAGAGAAATATTCAGGAATTTCAATTGAGAAGAGAAAAAATAGTGTTTATTCCCAGGTTAAATTTATATGATCTAAGAGGACACTGTGTTCAATACTTATTAGTACTCATAGTAGACATATAAGAATATTATTATCTTTTCATATGTAAACAATGAGGCTTGTGACTTCAAGTATCTTGCCTAAATGAATGCTCAGATTCTGATAAAAGCCCACGATTTATGATAAAATTCTTATTTGGAACTTCCTATTGGTCACAAATGTAATTGAAAATCCAAAATATTTAAAAATTAAAAAGCATAATTTTATTTCTTTCTTTCTTTCTTTCTTTCTTTCTTTCTTTCTTTCTTTATTTATTTATTTATTTATTTATTTATTTATTTTGGAACTACTTATCAAATTTGGGACCTTGCACAGGCAGTGGAACCACTGAGCTAAATCCCCAGCCCTAGATAGCATAATTTTAAATATCACATGAGTCAAAGAAATACAGTACAGGGAAAAAAGTCAATGGAAAGTAAAAATAATAATATAACAGAACTAAGGGGCTGCAGTAGAGGGAGATTTATAAATTTGAGTGAGCAAGTTTGAGAAGAAGAAATGTTTTAAATCAATAATATGCTTTCACTTTGGAAATGTAGAAAATGGAATGAAAATTAAATAGAGCAAAATAAGTGAGGAAATCATAAAGATTAGAGTGTAAATCAATAAGATAGATAACTCTAAAACAATAGGTATCATCAGTGAAACCCAAAAGTGGCTGTTGGAAGAGTTCAATAAATCTGATACATTTTAGCTTAATTTCATATAAAAAAATGAGTTGGAACACATAAATTAATAAAACAAGACCAAACAAGGTGGCATGAGTACTGTTTCTAAACATATTAAAAATTGTAATGTAATATGATGTAAAAAATACATTTCAAAAAATTAGAAAACTTAAAAAAGGTACAAATAAATAAAACTTACTCAGAATAAAGAGAAAATATAAGTAAATTTTAGCAATTAAATAAATAATAAATAATCTTTAGTACTTAAAGATTTCTACACAAAAAATAACCCAGGTCCAAATGAATTCAGTAGTGAACTGATAATTTATTAGGAACTTAGATCATCATGTTAATTGAAATAAACCAGATGAAGAAAAAGAAGCATCATATATTTTCTTTCATATATGGAATCTATAAAATGAACATGAAAGCAGAATGGTGACTATAAGAAAAGAGGAAGAGAATCAGGGAGGTGAGAAAGGAGTATACTGGAACATATAAGGAGGGTTAGATATGATCAAAGTATGTCATATGCATGGATGAAAATGCCAACATAAAATATTCTGTTCATACAAGTAAATAATACAAAATCTTCAAAATAATTTTTTTATAAATTAGAGGAGGACACTTTTTCCAACACATTCTTTGAAGCTGGCATCATTCTGACACCAAAGCAAAAAAAAAAAAAAAATGTAAAGACCAGAACCAGAGGCCCACCATACCATCTGTAGTTTCACAAAGATCCCAGGAAATAGCTCTGTGAACCACAGGGATTCAGTCGAAGTGGATCCCAGCCAGGGCATGGCCCCAAACCTAGAGGCTTGGGCAAACCCATACAAGCCAAAGGCCTGCCCGGACAAGAGCAACACAGGTGCATAAGCTTCAGCCAGAGGCCCACTATACCAGTGGTAAGTGCATACAGATCCTGGGGAGCAGCTGTTTGGACTACAGTGGCAGGGCTAAAGGCAGACTCCAGATAGGGCTCTGCCCCAACCTCAGAGGCTTGGGCACACATCCCATAGCCAAGGGCCCACCTGGAAAATAGCTATACAGGCATACAGGTTGCAGACAGTGACTCACCACAATATCATTGTTTCGTGCACAGAGACCCTAGGCAGAACCCCATGCAGACAACAGGAACTGGGGTGTACAGTCATCAGCCAAAGGCCCTCCCAGACAACAGCTACCTAAGGGCCCCAGCAAGAAGCAAACCTATATAGTTCCCAGGCCCTAGCCAGAAGCCTGCCCAGTCAACAGGTCACTTTAGGGATCCAGAATGCCACGATTCTGAACCAAGGAATTGGTGTACTGGTGAGCAGGAGAGTAAAGGCTTCTTGGTGGATTGCTGAGAATTGAAGACCACTGGGTGACCAAAAAGTTGGCTTAATGAAGTCACATGACTAAAATGGGAAGATACATAAACAAAACTCAAAGCCAGACTTCCATATAACCCAAGGCAACCTTATAGGGAAATGAGATGTAAAAATCTGATATTTAACTACATGGACTAACTGAACTGTCAACAAAAGAGGATCTGAAAAAAATGGAATCAGAAATAATTTCTCAGGTAACAGCAAAGATTATGCCCATAGTGCAAGACTTGATTAATAAATCCAGAGCAGACACAGATAAAAAAAAATGGAGGAGCTGAAGAACATGATGGAATCATAAGGGACCATGAGAAATCAATGAAGCAGCTAATAGACAATGCAAAGAAGAATAATATAAGACTGATTTGAGTCAATGAAGAATCAGGAGACAGTGCAGATGACATAAAAAATAGTTTACAGAAGTAATGGCAAAAAATTTCCCAAGCAGGAGAAAAGAACTTGACATAAAGGTAAGTGAGGCATAGAGGACTCCAAAAGGCAGTCACTAAGAAAATCTACACAAAGGCATATAACAGTTAAGAATCCAGAAGCCCAACAGAACAAAATAGAAAAAGTTAGAGAAAACAAAAAAAATCACATGTAAAAGAAAGCCCATCAGAATCACAGCAGATTTCTCAACACAAATCCACAAGCAAGATGAGCTTGGAATGATGTACTTCAAGCCCTAAAGGAAAACAACCTCCAACTTAGATTGATGTACTATGAAAATTATCTTTCAAAATTGATGGAGAAATAAAATACTTACATGATAAATAGCACCTTAGGAACTTCATGAATACTAAACCAGCACTCTAACAAATTTTAAAAAATATCCTAGGAAAAGATAATGATGATCACAACCTCAGGAAGCCCAGCAGAATGAATCCACTGGGCCTGACAAGAAATGAAATGCAAAGAGGGAGAATCCAACAAAAAGAAAAAGTCATGACAAGGATATGTCAATATATATCACTTATAACCATCAATGTTAGTGGTCTCTAATCACCAATCAAAAAAAATAGACTGGCAGAATGGGTGAAGAAGCAAAAACCAACAGCATGCTACATTCATGAAACACAGCTACATCAAAAAGAAATTCATAGACTGAAAGTTAAAGGTGGAAAACAATACTTCATGGGACAGGAACCTGAAGAAAAAGCAGGAGCAGCTACCCTCTTTCCAGATCATGTAGATTTTAAACCAACACTGATTAAGAGAGTGAAAGAAGAACACTACATACTTGTAAAGGGAATAATAAAAGAGGAAGAAATTACAATCTTTCATATACATATATATATATATATATATATAGCACTAGTATGCCCAAGTATATAAAATAAATACTCACATATATCAAAAATCATATAAGCACTGATACAGTCAGTATTTGTGGGGGAACTCAATACCACACTGTCACAAATGGATCAACCAGACAAAAAATAAAAAATGAAATACTATAACTCAATCAAACTCTTGAATAAATGAATTCAACAGATATTTGCTGAGTGTTTCAATCCACAGAATCAGAAAACACATTTTCAGCTGCAAATGATCATTCTAAAAGATAGATCATGTACTAGTTCATAGAACATGTTTAAGTAAGTGCAAGGAAATTGAAGTTAGCCACTGTATATTGTCAGAGCACAGTGCAATGATATTAAAGAACAATAGCAAAACAAACCTCAAGAATTTCATAAACATGTGAAAATTGAACAACACCCTTCTGAATAAAAGTGAGTCACAGAGCGAATTAAAGAGGAAATAAGATAGTTTCTATAATGAAATCACAATTTCAACACAACATATTGGAATTTATGGTATATAATGAAAGCAATCTTATCAGGGAAATTCGTAGCAAGGAATACTCAGAGAAAGAAGTGAGCTGACATAAACAACCTGATGATGAACCTCAAGCTTCTAGAAAAAGAGGAGCAGGACAAACCCGAAGCTCATACAAGGAAAGAAATTATAAATATTACAACAGAAATAAATCAAATGGAGAATAAGGGAATGTTACAAAATATCAAATAAGAAAATAGTTGGTTCTTCCAAAGAACAAACAAAATAGACAAATCGTTTTCCAACCTTATCATAAAAGGAATGAAATCACCCAATCCATGCAATTAGTAATGAAAAGGGTGAAATTATGATGGGCCAAGCAGAGATCCAGAGGATCATCAATACCTACTTTGAGAACCTATGGACAGATTCCTAGATATGTATGAATTACCAAAGTTGAATGAAGAACAAATACAAATTCTAAACAACACAGCATCGATCAATGAAATTGAAAATGCACATAAAATTTACCAACTAAGAACTGTCCAGGTGATGATGGCTTTACTGCTGAATTCAATAAGATATTTAGAGAACTATTGCCACTACTGTTTAAACACTTCAATGCAATTGAAAGGAAAGCAGTAGTCCCAAATTCAATCCTGGGATCAAGCATCACCTTGATCCCAAAGACAGAGAAAGACCAAACTGCATAAGAGAGCAAAAGGCCAATCTCACTAGTGAACATAGAGCAAAATCCTTAATAAGATACTGGCAAATAGAATGCAGAAGATCATCCAGAAGACCATATACCCTGACCAAGTGGGATTCATGCCAGGGATGGAAGGATAGTTCAACATTCACAAATCAATAAATATATAGACTGCATTAATAGAGCAAAGGACAAAAACCACATGATCATCTCAATAGATGCAGAAAATGATTTGACAAAATCCAACACCCATACCTGACAAAATCCCTACAAAAATTAGAATAGATGTTCTCTACCTCAACCTGATAAAAGGCCATCCAAAAAAAACCAACAGCCAATATCACACCAAATCTTCAAAAACTGAAATCCTTCTCACTTAAATGAGGAACAAGACAAGGATGTCCCCTATGACCACTCCTGTTCGATATAGTTTTGGAAACATTAGCCACAACAATTACACAAGAGAAAAAAATAAAATGAATAAGATAGGAAGCAAAAATGTCAAACTGTCATTACTGCATTCTATAATCAAATTAATTTGAGCAGTGGTATACAATGTGAACATTACAAAATAAATATCTTTCCTGTAGAAGAACAAAAGACTCCCTGAAGAAGGAACTGGAGGAAAAACACCCTTCATGGTAGCATCCAAAAAATGAAATATCTAGGAACCAACCTGATGAAAGAAAAGTAAGATGCCCACTCTGAAATCTATACCACTCTGAAAAAAGGGATGGAAAAGGAAATAGAGAATGGAAAGACATCCCTTTCTCCTCTCTAGGAAGAATCAACATAGGGAAAATAGCCATGCTTCCAAAACTGATATGCAGATTCAATGCAACCCCAAATAAAATTTTAGCAGTATACTTCACAGACCTTGAGAAAACAATTCAAAAATTTATTTGACTCAAGAAGAGACCTAGAATAGCAAAAGCAATTCTAGGCAATAAAGACAAGGTAGGGGGTATCACAATCCCCAACTTAATACTAGACCACAAATCCACTGTAATAAAAGCAGCCTGGTACTGGTAAAGAAACAGACCTGAGGATCAGTGAAACAGAATATATTTTGCAGAAACAATTCCAGAAATACCAAGCCACCTCATCTTCAACAAATATGCCAAACTCCTTCACTGTAGGAAATATAGCACCTTTAATAAAGGTACTGGAAATAATGGTTTTTCATTCCCCAATGATTAAAACTAGACCTGTATCTCTTAACATATAATAAACTAAAATTGAAATGTGTTAATGATCTAAATATTAAAACAGAATCACTAAACCTGCTGGAAAAGAGGTTAGGTACAACTCCTGAAGATACTGGCAGAGGAAAAACTTACATGAAAAAAAAACTCATTTTCATGTGAACTAGTGCAAAGAATTATCAAGTGTGATCTGTTCTTATTGAAAAGCTTCTGTTTTTCAACCAAACAGAATGAAGAGACAACACATAATGTTGGAAAAATTTTACCAGCTGTTCCTCAGACAGAGGTCTACTTTCTAGAGTATATAAAGAACTTAGAAATATCAGACCTCCCAAATTTGAAGACCCAATCCAAAAATGGGCATCTGAAATGAACTATTTCTCAAAGAAGAAGAAATAGCAAATAAATATATGAAAAAATGTTCCACATCACTGGTCATTCGAGAGATGAAAATGAAAACAATGTTAAGATTCCCCTCACCCCATAAGGAATGGGTGCTATCAAGAAATCAACCAATAACAAATGCTGCTGGGGCTGTGGGAAAAAGGGAACTCTTCCCCACTCTTGGTGGGATGTAGACTTTGCAACCACTGTGGAAATCAGTATGGAAATACCTCAAAAAGTAGAATTATGGGTCCCATTTTACATATCTATTCCCTTGCTAGGTATCTTCCCAAAAGACTTAAAAGGACCATACCATGGGATATATGTCAACACATCTTCTTAGTGGCACAGTTTATAATAGCTAAAACTTGTATTCTGCCCAAATTGCACATCACCTGCTGACTGGATAATAAAAATGTATTTTTTTAAAATAAAGTGGAATACTCAGCCATAAAGAATGTGAAATTAGAAGCATATACTGCTAAATGGATGCACATTGAGGTGATACTATTAAGTAAGATAAATAGGACACACCTGTGTAAATACTGAATAGTTTCTCTGGTGTGAGAAACTGAATATATATACAAGATCAAAATGTATAATCAATAATGTGAAATAGGAAGGAAAGGTACAAAGGGGAAGTAGGAGGGGTAGGGGAAAAAAAGGAATAAGTGTAAGAAAATTATAAAATTGAAACACAGGCTTTGTAAATAATGAGTGGTGGAAGGTTTTAAGGGAGGGCAGGAAATTGGGGTAAAAATAAAAAACAAGGTATAGTATGTAAAGTTACAAATTCCCAGTGATGAATACCAGCATATTGTATACCTAAAATGTTCCAATAAAATTAAATAATTTTTAAAAGAATATTTTAATAGTTTTATGTGCTTATAAATCCAATACCGAATAAGCATTATTTCTATATCCATTTATTTTTTGTAAACCTTGTCACATTGTATATCTTCTATAATTTTCCCATGAATTGTGTTTGTGATTTTTCACTATATATATGTATTTGTCTCTAGTTCCATTATTTTCACCTCTAAAATTCATGTAATTATATGAATCTACTAAACTTTATGTTTTTTTCTTTTTTTCATATAGTATCCATTTTTCTCACTATAGATTTGTGTACATTGAGGAATTTTCCCTGGGTGTCTATAAAATTGTACTCTTAAAGTTTCTTATGGTAGAAAGTGTAATCTAATTTACAACATGTTGTGATGATGCTTACCATGTTATCTTAGTTGTTTACATTCTACTAGAACACATATTTCTTTGTTTTTAACCAATACTTGGTGGTGTTAAAATTTAATGTTTTGTCAGTGCAATAGGTGCGAAATAGGATTTTCTTACCCTCTTAACTTTGGACTTCTTTCATTATATTCGAGATCACATATCTTGTGCTTTCCATTTTTTGGCCTTTCATTATTCTTTGTAAAAAATTCTTGACTGTTTTCTTTGCCTGATTTTCTTTTGCAATTTTTATTTTTATTAGTATATATTTGCAATACGTAATGACTACATTCTTAATGGGAAGTTCGTGTATTTACATATCTCTATTCTTTTTTTATCCCCTTTTGTTTCATCCTTCTCCACTTCATCTTTTGTTGTCCTTATCAGTTGCAGAAGATCTATTTCCCTCTTTTCTGTTATCCACCTTTTATTATAGTATTTATATTTTGGATTTCTCATATAAAAGAAGCCTTGCACTACTTAGGCTTCTGTGTTTCATTTAACTAACAACATTATGGTGTCAAGATGCCATATTTTCTTACAAATAACTCAAGTCTATATTTTTTTCATGGCAGAGTAGTTATTGGTATATCCATCTACTGTTTGTTGATCTATAGGAGTTCATATATATTATGTAATAGTATTTATGTGTCAGTGCAAATAATTTTTCAGTGTATTGTTTGTTGATTCAGTTTACATTATTTTGCTTGAATAAAAATATTTAAAGTTTTGAATAAATAAATCTTATATTTTTATAATATTATTATTTATATGTTGTTTACAAAATATTTCCCAGTTGTAACATTAGGGATATATTTACATATATTTTCTTTGAATATTTAAAAATTCAGTTTACAAACTTAAATGGTGAGTCTTTCCATATTCTATTTTCCTTGTTTTATTATGCAGGAATATATATGTATTTTTATTAAAAGTGGGTTTTCTTCCTATGATTACTAGATCATGCTTTACTTACTCATCTAAATGACACTTCTATTTTGTACAAACTCTCCTGTATACTGGTTATTTTCTGGTCACTTGTGTTTATTCATGACAATGATGCAATCACTTTATATCTCTGAACTAATTCATCTTTAACACTATCTAACAAAAGAACTTAACTAGTTTTGGTGGCTGAAGGATAAAATTAGTAATAAAAGCTTTTATTTATTAAATATTTTAAACACTTTACATTAATTATCTAGCTTAATCCTCAGAAAAATAGTAATTTTGAAAAGTTCATTGATTTGCACAAAATTTGGAAAGATAGTTGAGTATAAAGTTTAAATTTGAATTCAGTTCTTATTCTAAGTACTGTGTAGTTTTCAATACATTTTACTATCTCTCAATAGTAAATGAATTACTTTTGTATAATAGCTGGTTTGGTTCATAGTAGGCAAGTGATAGCCATTATTTTTACTTAGTAGTATTTTGACTCTATTTTCTGTGTCTATTATAGGAATGCCAAATTCTTCTGGCCTCGTGAACCGTCGTGATGCAATTTCAAATACAGATGCCACTGTGGTTGCATTACTGAAGAAGGCTGGTGCCATTCCCCTTGGAATAACCAACTGTAGTGAGTTGTGCATGTGGTATGAATCAAGTAACAAGGTCTATGGCCGATCCAACAATCCATATAACTTACAGCATATTGTTGGTGGAAGTTCTGGTGAGTTGAACAATTTATTTAAGGAATTCATATGAAATATAGATACACTATTGCAAAATATTTTGAGAAAACAATGGTCAGCTGTTTATGGGATAAGATGTTAAAAAAGTGTCACAGATCTTTGAGAAGAACTCACATTCTTATTTCCTTTGTACCTGTGTGTGTGTGTGTGTGTGAGAGAGAGAGAGAGAGAGAGAGAGAAAAGGAAGCAGAGAAGATATGTTTAGGATTTTTTGGAAATAAAGCTATGAAAATTGTGTCAAAATATATTGAGCTTCAATAACTTTGTGACAGAAACTGTGCTGATGCAAGAATGTAGACGATGTGGAATGGAAATCCTCTCCAATAAAGTAATATTTGTGTTGAAAACCAAAGGATCAAAGAGGTCTGGTTACTCATTGAGAGCCAAAGTATATGGGTTAGATAGCATTGTGGATAGAGGGAATAGAATGTGCAAAATCCTAAATGTGGGAACATGCTTAGTGATTTCAGTGTAGTGAATGAAGATTGAGAGGAGCTAGAGGTTAAATCAGAAAGTTTGTTTTATATCTGATTATATAGCAAAGCAAAAGAAGTAGCAAATAGAAAAGATGAAAATATATTTTAATAGCATAGGAGACAAATGACAGTGACTTCAGGTAGATCTTCTTAATAAAAAGAAGTAGATGGTGTACAAAAGATATTTTAGAGGTACAATTGAGTATGACACATCATAGACTGTAAATGGAGATATCAACATAGAAATAAAAATGAAAGTGAAAAACCACTCCAGGCTTTATCAAAGGCAGACACCATGATTAAGAAATAATTTATGCATATGTTATTTTTAGAAGTTTGTGAGATATCTAGTGGATATTTTAAGTGGCCTGATGATAGCAAATAAAAAAATTGTTCCACATCACTGGTCATTTGAGAGATGCAAATGAAAATAACACTGAGATTCCACCTCGCCCCACAAAGAATGGCTGCTGTCAAGAAATCAACCAATAGCAAATGTTGGCAGGAATCCTTCTCCCTTGTTGGTAGGAGTGCAGAATAGTACAACCACTGTGGAAATCAATATGGAGATACCTCAAAGAAGTAGGATTAGAGTCTCCATTTGACCCAGGTATCCCTCTGCTGGGTATCTTTCCAAAAGAATTAAAAGTATCATACCACAGTGATATATGTGCACCCATGTTTATAGTGGCACAGTTCTTAATGGCTAAAACTTGAAAACAACACAAATGTCCATCAATTGGATACTGGATAAAGAAGATGTGGTTTTTTTAATTCTATAAAATGGAATACTTCTTAGCCACAAAGAATGAGAAACTAGAAACATTTATAGCTAAATGGATGCACATTGAGGATATACTCTTAAGTGAAATAAATAGGACACACTTGAGTAAATACTGAATAGTTTCTCTGGTGTAAAAACAAAAAGTGTAAATAAGTTTCAAATGATATTATTCGGAGTGTGAAATAGGAAGAAAAGGGCTAAAGGGGGAATGGGAAGGGGAGGAGAAAGGAAATAAGGGAAAAGAAAATGTGAAAAAGAAAAAAATGAAAACAAAGTATTTGTAAGTACAGAAGGGTGAAGTGGATGAATGGAGGGCAAGTGTATGTGAAAAAAGAAGAACCAAGATATATCATGTAAAGGTACATGATGCCAATGATATATGAGACTGCACTGTTTGCTTCAAATATACCAATAACCTTAATGGGGAAAAAAGGATTGTCAGTGCTAAAGCAACACAGAATTTTGAAGTTTCATTATTAAATAACCTTGGTCATATAAAGTAGATTTGCAGTGGTTCAGTTTTCTCAGCTTGTAAATGGCTATAATAAGAAAAACTACTTGTAAAGTCATTCTGATGACAACAATGTAAACATAACTTCAGGTTTCTGTTGTAGTACATGAAGAGTAAAAAGGTTATTTCCATCTACACAACAATGGATGCAGCTGCATGAACTGAAAATCAGCTATTATCCTTAATATGAGACCATTGAGGCCACTTGGTGACAGAAGAAACAAAACATAAACTGTAATTGATGACTTACTGCAGGCTCAGTGTTCTGGCTTGTGCTTAGATGCACCACTCAAAGCCTCATGCACTCTTACATGGACTTTTTCCAGAGGTGCCTGGATCTAGCGTGTGCGAATATTGATTAAGTGTGTGTGATACATAAATTAGTCCACTGATTGGTTTATCATAGTTCTAGGCATGCATAATTTGAAGGCCCTGAGTGTAGGTAGTACTGTGTAATAGACCTGTAGCCTGAATGGAATGAATGGGAAAGTGAGGCTCAATACCTTGCTGTCTCTGCCTGCTAGGGTTTTTATCTCCTTGTCCATGCCTCTCTACCATGCTACCCTGCCTTTCAGCCAGCCAATTAGGAAAGCTCTAGAAACTGTGAGCTAAAACAAAACCTTTCTCCTTTAAATTGTGGATTTCAGATATTTTTCCCTAACAACAAGAAACTCACTGAGACACTCAGTATGGTCACATTTGTGAGATGTTTCAATGGTGATTCAGTTTTAAGAATCCTCCATTTTCATCAGTTTTACCTGTAGAAGCCCTATCAAGTTCTGACAGTAAAGGTTTAGAGAAAATTCTATCAAGTTTCCAGTAGGGAAGGTAAAAACTAGCCATTATGAAATATCTCAAAAGTATTCTGATTTTCCACTAAGGGATACTCAGAAAAGTTAATTTGCAAGAACATAATCAGGGTTTTATCAATTACTAGTTAACATGTACTTGGAAACAAGACATATCCATGTATCTCTAGGTTTCTTTTCCTACCAGGGGTGGGGAGGAGCAGAAATGTGAAAATAATAGGTTAGGGTCACAGGCCAGGAGAGAGCCCACCTAAATGTGTGAGACATGTTCATAGGAAAATAGAATACCAGGGATTTTGCTCAGTGGTTCCACCACCTGACTCACAAGTGCAAAGTCCCAAGTTCAAACCTCAGTACCAAAAAACAAACAAACAAACAAACAAACAAACAAAAAGAATGCTTCTTCACCCTTTTGTACACATTTTATTGTGGCATTGATAGAATCTTGTGAAACAGATAAATATATTGGAAAAACTAAGCACTGTAGATATAATTTAAGAGGTTTTTCCATCTGCAGAATCATTAAAAAAAAAGCTGCACAAGCTGAAAATCAAATGCCATTCTTAGAAACTTGTGAACAGTTATGTTGAAGGCACATAGAAGAAAGAAAATATAAAATGCAGTTGATTCAGTATCAACAAATTTGATAGTTGAAATTTCTGTGGTGATAGAAATACTATGAGAGACCCAACCAAGGATATCAGATGAAAATACCTTATTTTGTGCCACAATTACAAAAACGTAAGCATAAATTAGCATCCCACAAAAAATAAACAAAATATCTCATACTAAAGATTGATTTGCCTCAGATTATTTTATGCAGAATACCATGAAAGTTTAAAACAAAAAATTAGGACATACTATAACACAAGCAACACAATTTGACAAAACATCAAACATCAAAATCAGATTAAAGTGGGTCAGAAATTTTGAAATTATGACAGGTCTTGGTTCTCATTTTTTCCCCTTGTCCATACCCTCCCTTATACCTAGAATGTACCAATAAACTCAATAAAAAATAAAGAAACAAAGAAATTTTGAAATTATTGTGGAAATTTAGAACAACTTTTGTTACCATGAGAAAGGCTATAAAGCAAAAAGTAGACATAATAAAACTACAAATGTATAATGTAAACAAAATGATGCAAGAAATAAAACTTAAAAGAAAATACTAGTTCCTTCCCATACTCAATCCTTAACTGCTTGCAGGTTTTGCCTAGAAGCCTGCTTGGGTCACAGCAGCATGTATATGGGCAGGTCCTACCCAGGGTCCTGCCCCATTTCCAGCATCTGGAACTCACAGGCCCAGATAAAGCCCCACCTAGAAAAGAGCTGCACAGGTGTACAAACAACAGCCAGAGGTCTGCACATATTCCATCTATATGTATGCACAGAGCTCAGAAAGAAGCCCACTTAGGCCAAAGTGGTACAGTTACAGACAGGTCCTATTCAGGGCCAAGCCCTGACCCAAGCAGCTCTGATCCACAGGCCAGCTAAAGGTCCACTTGGAAAAGAGTTGCACAGGTGTACAAGCAACAGAGATAGGCCTACTCTGATACATTAATAAGTGTGCACAGATGCCAGCCAGAAACCTGTTCAGTCACCAGGGACTGGGGAACTTGGCCCACAGCAAAAGGCCCAAACCAAGAAAATAGATATGCATAGGGCAGGCCCAGGGAGAGGCATGCTCAGATACCATTTTAAGCATGCACAGGACCCAGCCAGAAACCAGCTTGGACAGGGCAGCACAGGTATTCAGAAGGCCACCATTAAGAACCCAGGATATGGTAAGCTGGGAATAGCAGACTTCTAGATCACTTAAAGCAACCTCAAAGCTTAACAAGATGGAAAAATCTGATACTTTACCACCTGTACTCCCTGAACTGGCAATGGATGAGTGGAAAAATGGAATCAGAAATAATTTCTCAGATAACAACAGAGATTGTGTCTATAGTGCAAGACATCATTAACAAATCTAAAGAAGACACAGATTAAAAAAATATAGAAGGAGGTGAAGGGAGGGTAGGGGTAAGGGGAAAAATGAGAATCAAGACTTGTCATGTAGAGGTACAAGATCCCAACAATGAATGTAACTACTGTATCCCTAAAATGTACCAATAAACTCAATTAAAGCTGAAAAAAAATATAGAGGAGCTAAGGAACACGTTGGAATCCCAGCATAGGAAACAAATGGAATCCATAAAATAGATGCAAACAGATATCCAGGAGATTAAAAAATCCATTGAAAGTTTACACAGGAGAATATAAGGATAGGATATCAGATGTAGAAGGCAGGATTGCAGTTAGTGACCAGGAAAATTTAAAAAATCTTAAAAATAATAAGAGACCATGGGAAACCAAACCATCAGCTCCTAGATGATTCAAATAAGAATAATATAAGACTGATTGGAGCCAATGAAGAAAGAGGGGAAGAGAATATGGCATAAAAAAACTGCTCATGTAAATAACGGCAGAAAACTTCCAAAGCAGGGGAAAAGGAACAGACATACAAATGACTGAGGCATATAGGACTCCAACCAGCTAGGATGAAAAAAAAAATCTATACATAGGTGTATAATAGTTAATATTACAGAAAACCAATAGAACAACAAAATTCTACAAGCAGTTAGAGAAAAGAAACAAACTGAATACAAAGGAAATCCCATTAGAATCGTAAAAGACTAATCAAAAACAAAACCTGAAGGCAAGAAGAGCTTGGAGTGAAATATTTCTAGCCCTAAGAGAAGTAAGCTCCAACCCAGATTGATGTACCCTGAAAACCATCTTTGAAAATTGACAGAGAAAAGACAAAGAGCATCTGAAGAACTGCATGTACCAAACCAGCACTACAAAATCTTTTAAACAATATGCTAGGAAAAAAAAAGAGGTTAAAAATTCCAGGGAGTCCAGCAGAATGAATCCATCAGGCAAGCCAAGAAATTAAATCCAAAGCTGGCAAATGAAACAAAAAGAAAAAGTCATGATAACAATAAGTTAATATTAGATCAGCTGCAATCATCAATATTAATGGTCTCAATTCACCAGTAAAAAGAAATAGACTGACAGAATGGGTTTCTTGACCCAACAGTATGCTGCATACATGAAACACAGTTACTTCAAAAAGAAACTCATAGACTGGATGTTAAAGGGTGGAAAACAATATTCTATACGACAGGAACCTGAAAAACAGTAGTAGTAGCAATCTTTGCAGATCAAATGCACTTCAAACTGATGCTGATTAAGAGAGACAAAGAAGAACACTACATACTTGTAGGAGAAAAAACAAAGAGGAAGAGGTGACAATCATAAAATATATGCACCAAATACTAATGCAACTGTATAAAACAAATAGTAACAGACATGAAAAATCAAATAAGTACTACTTCAATATTAGTGGTGGACACCAATACCCTTCTGTCACTAATAGACCAATCCACTAAACAGAAAATTTAAAAATACTATAACTCAATCAAAATCTTGAACAGATGAACTAAAGAGATATTTAGAGTGTCCCACCCTGCAAAATCGAAATGCACATTAGTTTTGGCTGCACACATGAGTCATTCTCAAAAATCGATCACATACTTGCTGATAGAATATGTTTAAGTAAGGGCAAAGAAATAGAAGTTATCTGCTGTATATTATCATATAATAGTGCAATTAAATTGGAGATCAATAGCAAAAGAAATGTCAAGAATTTCATAAACACATGGAAATTGTACAACGCACTTCTGAATAACTAATGGATCACGGAGGAAATTAAACAAGAAATCAGACAGTTTCTACAATTAAATGACAATGTTAATACAACATATCCGAATCTATGGGACACAATGAAAGCAGTCTTACTAAGGAAATTCATAGCAGTGAATACTCATAACAGGAAAAGAGAGTGAGCTAAAATAAAAAAACAGATGCTGATCCTCAAGCTTCTAGAGAAAGAAGAGCAGGACAAACTCAAAGCTCATGCAGGGGAGGAAATTATAAAGATCAGAGCAGAAATAAATTCAGTAAATAATAAGAGGATGATACAGAAAATCAGAGAAGCAAAGAGTTTGTTTTTTAAAAGAAGGAACAAAATTTACAAACCCTTAGACAATGTTATGAAAGAAAGCAAAGACCCAAATCTATGCAATTAGGAACAGAAATGGTGAAATTACAATTGACCAAGAAGAAATCCATTAGTTCATCAATGCCTATGTTGATAATCTATACACCAATAAGATGGAAAACAAAAAAGAAATGGACAGATTCTTAGATACATATGAATTACCAAAGCTAATCAAAGAAGTCCTAAAAATCCTATCGACACAATATCAATAAATGAAATTAAAAATAGCTAAAACTTGAAACAGTCCATTTGCCAATCAGTTGGAAACAGGATAAAGAAGATGTGGTTTTTCTATAAAATGAAATACTACTCAGCCATCAAGAATGAGAAATTAGATTCATTCATAGGAAAATGGATACATATTGAGGATATACTCCTAAGTGAAATAAATAAGTCACACATGTGTAAATACCAAATAGTTTCTCTGGTGTGAAAAAGTATAATAGTACATAAGATCCTAATGAGGTAATTAACAATGTGAAATAGGAAGAAAAGGGCTAAAGGTGTAGGGGAAGAGGGAAGGGTAGGGGAAAGGTAATAAGGGAAAGAAAATAATAGGAGAAAATGAAAAAATGGAAATAAAGTGTTTGTAAATGGGAAGGGGAGGAGGGGGTGAAGGGAGGGCAGGGACAAGGGGAAAAAGTAAGAGCCAAGACCTGTCATATAAAGGTACAGCGTCCTAGTAATGAATGTAACTGTATTGCATACCTAGATTGTACCAATAAACTCAATAAAAAGAAAAAAAAATGTTTTCTGAGACTGTCTTGTCTGGGTCTCTGTGTGTCTATGCCTTTCTTCAACTTTCCCCTTATAAAGGAGTTCTTATAAATGTCATAATATTCCAAGTAGCCTCACTGCATGTTTGTTTATGTTCCTTAGAAGTTCTGTTGCAGTTGGGTGCATGTAAATTCTTTCTTCAGGTGTCTAAAGTTCTGTATTACTACTGCAAAGGTCTTCCTTAAAAAGTATTATCTCAGTTACTTCATCACATCAGTGAAAAGCTAACTGAGTTCAACAGCAGCATCAAACAGGCATAAGAAAAACACATTTTACCTTGAAGAGATCTCATTTAAAATTATTGAATCTGGGGGCCTGGGATTTAGCTTAGTGGTTCTGCCACCTGCCTTGCAAGCATAAAGACCTGAGTTCGATTCCCAGTACCAATAATAATAATAATAATAATTATTGAATCTGAGAAGCATGAAGAAAAATCTTAAGCAGAGACTGAAGGACTTATGGGATACATTTGAACAGACAAAATATGCATTATGGGAGTTCTAAAAGAAGTGAAAGAAAGTGCCAAAAATTACTGTATTCTAAAAATTAATGGCCCTATACTACCTACACAGGTGAAAAATATGGATCTAAAAATTCAAAATCTTAATGACAAACATACAAGATTATTCTAGATAGTCTCACTTGAAACACATAATCAACTTTTGAAAGACAAAGACAAAAAAAAAAAGAATCTTGTAAGGAGCGTGAGAAACGTGATTTATCTTTTACCAAGGCTACTCGATAAATTTTGCCTTAGATTTCTAAGCAGAAATTGTGGAGGAAAGAAAGCAATGAAATGCCATAATTGTGATAAAAGAAAATAAATGCCAATTGAGAATTCTATACATGAGAAAATTATATTTTTAAATGTGGCAGAAACTAAGACATTTACAAATAAAGAAAACCTGAGGGAATACAGCATATTGACCTTAAATGTGCCCTACAAGAAATATTGGTATATTTAAATTTGAAATGAGAAGATATAAGGAATTAACTCAAAGCCGAATGAAGAAAAACTTCCTTGGCTGGGGACGTAGCTCTGTGGCGCCATGTCTGCCTGGCAAGCTGAAGGTCCTAAGTTCAATTCCTGGTATAAAAACAAAACAAAACCAACAAAAAACAAAAAACAAGAGACTTTCTCGGATAAAAACAAATTTATGAGCAAATATTTTAAAAAACAGTATTAGTGTAATTTGGGTTGAAAACAGCAGGTTTTATTTTATACAGAATTTAAAGAACAATGTGCAATCTGGATATATATTTATGGTATTAGTTGCACAATATATAAAGTTGTAATTTGTGACCCCAGTTACATAAACGGGGGAAGTAGTCCTATGTAAGTAAGTTTGTATGCAATTGAAGTTAATTGGTAAAAAATTTGAATAGATTTTTATAAATAACATTCTTATGTAATCTTCACGGTAATTACAAAGAAAATATTTATATAATATACATGAAAGAAAATTAGGAGTTAAGCATACTATTGCAAAATACAATTAAACACAGAGGTAGTAATGGAGGAATTGAAAGACAAAGAGCTACAAAAGTTTTAAAAAAAAACAAATAAATAAAGTCAAATGTAAAGTCTTCTTTATAAGTAATTACATTAAGTGTAAATGTTTTAATTTCTGTAAAAATATATATATTTGCTGCGTAGACTCAAAACATAATTCAAATCATGACACACTTCAAATCTGAAGACACGTAGTTTTGAAAAGTGAAAGAACAGAAAATTTATTTCCTGGAAGTTATAACATAGTAGTTTTTTTATTTCAAAGTTTTTTCTGCACTCCCTATAGGTGGTGAGGCCTGCACCCTGGCTGCTGCCTGTTCAGTGATAGGTGTGGGCTCTGATATTGGTGGCAGCATTCGGATGCCTGCTTTTTTCAATGGCATTTTTGGACACATGCCTTCACCAGGTAATATAAGGATACAAGGCATATCCTTGTTATTCTTATTTTCCCTTCCCCTCCTCCTCACATTTCACCCATGTTCCCTTGGAGACTCCATGTCTCAGAGTTCTCAGGTTGTGTATTTGGGGGGGAGGGATAAATCTTTAATTTATTGGCATATACATTTCAATCTGTAGACTTGAAAAGTTTCTTTTTTATCAAATATTTTATATCTTTAGATTTCTTCTCCACTCTTCCCATGATTCTTATAATTTTCTGGTTGGTCTTTTTTAGAGACATGAGATGGACTTATTAGAGGTAGATATAGGATGCATTCAAGTGGAGTGTGGGTGTTCAGAGAAATGAGGAATAATACAGTTGGAAACTGAGACTCTTTTATGTGTTTTGGGTAGTTTGAGACTGTGGAAATTCATAATCTATAGTCTTAGGCTGGGGATTTAGTTTAGTGGTGCTACCACCTACCTGGCAAGCACAAAGACCCAAGTTTGATCCCCAGTACAAAAATAAATATTAATCTACAGTCTTAGTCTTGCCTAGTGGATAGGAGAAAATGACCCAACTATAGTGAGGTAATACTCTATTCATATGGGAAATCCCCAAAGGGTAGTCTATTCATGGGTAAAAGATGATCATTTGCAAGTAAAAAGGGAATGGGCAAACTCTTAGGTGAAAGAGGGTTTGCTATGATTTGTGAGAAGATAAAGATATAAAAAATTGGACTTGTTTCCTGAAGCTGCAGTTTTTCTTAAAATTACATTTTTTTAAACTCTTGCTTTCTTGTCTCTTTTCTACCTAGTTTTAATTTTGTATATCGTACTTTCCTCCTCTAAGACTTTGGTCCCTTATTCTTAAAGAGGCACAGAAGACATGATGGTCCGTCTTCATGTAACTCCTTTAAGCTGAAGAGTATTGACTGCCTAGCCAAGGACTGAAAGTCTCATCCTGACTGACCTAAAAGAGACATAGGTATATCAAATTCAATATTTTGAAGTTCTATCACATTTTGATAGCTTATAAAAGAGGGTATGAACATGGACACCTTAGCCAACAAAAACAATGAATCAGGAAACAGAAATAATTGCAATGCATAATATCAAAGCTACAGAAAAATGAGAATATTTTCCCATCAGGCTGTTCCAGGGAACCAGGAAGCTAGAGAGTCCTTAAGACTTGTGGCAGAGTCTGATATTGTATTGTAGATCATGTAATGCAGAGTACACATATGCAGAGATGTCAAGAATATACACACAGTATTGTGTGTTGGGAATGGCACAGTTTCCACCTTGTTCTGCTGTTAGAATATCTATGGCTATTTGGTTTTGTAGAATGGCTTTTCTCATTATTTTTACTTCTGAATTTAATAATGCAATGCCTTCTTTTTGTGTAGTTAGTAAGAGATTCAATGTGCCACATTACATCTTTATGTCCTCTTTGGGGAATAAATATAGTTGCCAGATGATCACAGTAGGGAAAACTTATCTGGTCCATTGATGCTTCAACACTGAGAGGTTAGCCGATTTATCTATAGGTTTAACCCCGCTCTCTCAAGCCCATGGATTTCCTAATATACATTGTCCAGTCTATCCTAGAGGCAAACAAGGTCTCCAGGTTTGTACAGAGCTATTGGGTATATTTTAATGCTGGCATCTTATTTCAGCTCTTTCCCTTAAGACAGTAGCAAACCAGTCACTATCTCTTAAAACAATAGTGTGATTATTGCCTTGGGTAAGAATCCACCCCATATGTCAGTTCACAGTACTCTACCTATCATAAGAATGTTTTTTTTTCATTTCTAACAAATGAATGCTAGTTGGCTCAGTTGTCCCCTTTCTATATTTAGCCAAAATTTTTATTTAATATTACTATTACTCTATAATGTTGGTTATAATTTCCCTTTGGGTATTTAAGATCTAGTCAAAGTGAGATGTGAGATGTGTATTAATCAAAATTAATATCACTATGTATATATCAAGGTCACTTAAGGCTCCTCAGGCATTCCTTTGGGGCTATAGGCAGAACCTCTTGGCCATTTTAGTTTCTCCTCTAACAATTGTATCATCTACAGGATGGGTCATTGTCTTTGCTAGGCCACATGGCTTCCCCTGGAAGCATGGCAACATTTCCCTCTTAGTGACACACCTTTTGGCACAATGCATATTGGTTAACTACTGTACTATGCAGTCCTTCAATTCCCCTCCTCAGGAGGTTAGGTGACTCACCAGAGTTATTGCATCCTGAAGAGAAATCCCCTTATATCCTGGGGTGACTTTTGACTTTGAAGTGCCAAGGCCAAAATGTTTTGCATCCTCTTAGGTCAATTACATTTCTAACTTTGGTCTCCAAGACTTAGTTTTTGAACACCCAGAAGATCAGTTACAGCAGTACTGAAGTGGGAGTAATAATTTTAACTATTATAATATCATCTGGATATCAAGCACTTTGAAATGAAACTACAGCCAGAGAATGGCTATAACAATTTTATGAGTCTTACAAGTCAAATTCCTGTAGAATGTTAATAGATTACAGCTATGAAGTTTTACTAGGAAAATTTAAAATCAAGATCAAGCATAGTATACAATATACTATATAACAATTATGCTGTCATTATTATACTTGAATCACTGAGGTTTTTATATTTAAAAACACATGTAAATTCCCATGTTAGTGTAAAAGAAATTTTAGTCAGTTATCTTTATCCAGGAAAATATCCTGATAAGAGAGAGAGAGAGAGAGAGAGAGAGAGAGAGAAATCAAACCATTGGGCTCCTTTTAGTCCTGAGTCCATATACTTCACCATGTATATCTTTTGCTATCATCTGATCAACTATGTGAATCTGTACTGCTTATGACATGTTTCCAGCCACCCACAAAGGGGAGCTGGGGTATCAGGTGGACTGAGCTTAGGCTGAGATAGAAAGATAGATAGACAGAAAGACAGGCAGGCAGGTAGGTACGCAGAGAGAGACAGAGACAGGGGAAAAAAGAGCAGTCTAAAGAAATTCCCTCAAACAAAATATGTTTAGGTCTCCACAGAGGTATATGCTTGGGAGATTCCTTTCTCCAGTGTGATCTGGATTTCAGTTCTTTTCACTGTGCCTCAGGATTGAGTCTTCCATGCTGGTTGCATGAGATACTATGCTTGAGACCTTGGATTGGGGATTCATCCTTACTTTATGTCTCCCTGCACAATCAATATATAGTTGGAGTCCCACCCAACCCAGGGACTGTGTATGATGCTAAGCTAAAGGAATATCCAAGGAGAAATCTACCTTTCCTGGTGTGTGCTTCCTGACACTTCTGCCTTCTTCTGGTTAGAGGTTCCCATGTGCCCTTTGTCTTCAGGGATTTTATGTGCAAGCATTCATTTTCTAATTGCTTAGAAGTCTCTAAAGGGAAAATAACTTTTAAAAGAGTATACAACTATAGAGGGAGAGAAAGAGAAAGAGATAAAGTTCTTCAGAGAAAACATATGTTTTAGAGAAAAACCACACTTTACAGAAAAACTGTGCCTCAGAGAGCCAAGGAATTGTGGAAAAATAGTGATGAAAAATGAAAATAACTGGAAAAAAGTCATTTGGCTGAACTTAGCAAACTAAAGTCAAGCTCTCTGAAGTCTCTTTTTCTCTTTTTTGATCCCTTCATGGTTGCCATAATAAATGTTACTGGGCTGAGTCTAAGGGTCCCCAAAATTTAAATAAGGAACTTAACCCATCCTTGTTTTCAGGTTTGCTGACTCCCATGGATGAAACAAAATTTAGGACATGTCAGTAAAAGAGATATTAGAAGGATTTATCAGAATTAGAAATAAAATGCACATAAGAGTGAAGTATGAGTGCTCAGAGAAATGTTAGTTCTTTAAGCTTTATCTTGGAGCTCTTGAATCAGCTCATCATAATCTCTTGTAATTTTTAGAATATGACTGAATAAGAGATTTACTGCATTGTTTTGTTCTCAAGGACTAATAGCTCCCCTTCAAACTGGTCATTGCTTTTTTGTTTTTCAATTACATTATTTAATTCCAAGATTTCTGCTTAATTATTTTTCATAATCCCTAGTTCGTTACTAAAATTATTCTTCATATTATGTATTGTCTTTTTAATGTAATTAGATATTTTTTCTTCTTTAAGCTCACTGAGCTTTTTATTAAATAAAGCCTCAATATTAAATTTATGTCTTTTTTCAGCTAATTAAGCATCTAATTCTTTTGCTTAAGTTTTTTTTCTTTGATATATTCAAACATTTTAATCTTTGGTTTTAGGTTGTTTGACTGAACTATTCTATACTTCACCACTTTTGAGTTTATCTTTTGAACAGTTATGAGTTTGTGGTAGCATTATTTGAATTATTTTTTAATATTTCTAGTGGATTTGTTTCAAAAGTTGAACATTAGAGTAGAAACCTCTTCCATCAATTTAGAGCCCAATTATTGCATGCTTTGCTCAGTTCTGAACTAGGATTTGATTATCAGCATTCATGCACCTAATTTACATACTTAACATATAGTCTCAATCTCAATAATTGTTTTTCAAGAAAAAGGCTACAGAAACAACCATATATCAATTATATAATTTAAACTTGCTTTTAAATTTTCACACTATTTTCAATAACCTAAAAAGTCAAAAAATAATATTGATGAAATGTAATCTAGGTTGTAGAGAATGAGGAAAGAAAAAAGGGAGATTGTTCCAAAATAAAGAAATAAATCAAAATGGCAAGAAAAAATGAAAGAAAGAAAAGAGATAGGAGTTTTGTGCCACAGTTATACTTTGAATGGAAGGGAAGAGGGATAAATTGTGGTTTGACATTTATCAGGTTGGGAAAAATGGGATAGGAGGGAGTGAAAGTAATTGGAGCTTAAGGGAAGTTTTAGGAAGCTTAATACCAATTAATGTGCTGGTAGAAAGCTTGTGCTTGAATCCTCTATATAAAATTTTAGGTGGAATTTAACCTGATGTCAATGAGAACTACTAAATCTACTAAAATCTAAATGAATAATTAATTCTTAG